ATTCCTTAACATTGATGAAAAAACACTAGTTATAAGTGAAATAATCTACCAGTAGAACAAGACATTTTTCCACTATTTCCACTACTGGCAGATCATTTTACTTATAACTAGTATTTTTTTTTTTTCATCAATACTAAGAAATTATTTACTTAAATCAAGCTCCTGTTTTGTCCTGAAAAGTTGCTTGTAAATTAGTTTTGTCTTATATCAAGATAGTTAGACTAGAAAATTACCTGGTAAGATTTTGGGGGTTTGCAGTTCTGACAGGACAGGAAGTGTTTCTACTTAGGGGGAAAAATGGTCAAGAAAACCTTCCATGCAATAATTTAAGTTTATTAAAATGTCAAAATCGATGCAGAGCAACAAGATTTTTTGGCAATATGGAACTTTGTATAATATGTCAACACTGTATCTTTGAAGTCTGCACTCAATGAACAGATTACAACCGTCATGAAAACAAACTCATACAACATTTTTTTTTCTTCTAAACATTCAAAGCTTCAAGTATCACATTACTGGCCGTTAACACTGTAGTCGGACATGTTCACTTTCAAGCTGGTGTCAATGTGTAAAATGCAATTCTATTAAATATAGCAGTACCCAAATGTCGAGTCATTTTCTTGGTGTGAAACATTTCCAGGTTTCTGCGTGTGAAAAGTGTTATCTCCCTTGGTCCCAGTTATTGTTTAACAGCTTTTTTTCCCCCTGTAGTGGCACAACAAATGTTTTGGGTTAAATTCTTGATGCTGTAGGTTGAGGTTTGTAGTGGTGATCTCTGGTTCTACCTCCGCTCGCCGTGGTCCTCCTCCACCCACGCCACGATCTTCCCCTCCCAGCCGGGGACCACTGCTCCATCCTGAAACACCTGAACAGCCGACAAAAACAGCATTTACAGTTATCTTAAACTGAAAATATTCATACCCCTTGGACTTTTCACAATCACAAATTTTGATGTGTTTTTGGGGGGATTTTATGTGCTATTCTTATGCAGTTCCGCTTGATTCTCATCTCTCTCCAGTAATCAGGCTGGGATTTCTCCCATTGAGCCAAATTTCCCAGCTGTCAAATCTCTCAAAACCTCTCAAGGTCAAATGTGAGTTCAGAGTAAACAAACATGGTAGACTAGGAAGAAGCTATGGCGAAGGTTTCTGGAAAGAAACAATACAAATATTGTTTCTTTCCAGAAACATTCGCTTCTCCAATCACTTCTCCAATCTCCACAAGACTTTCTGGTCCGCCATGGCGGTGGTTTTGTCTCTGTATATTTTGAATTCCCACTTCATGTTTCCGGGCATTGTTGTTTATCCTCATGAGAACACCACACACACTGCGATATCAGGCCAAGACAATGTAACATGTTGAATATCGCCCTTCTACCCACGTATTTCCAGTATACCATTGAGATAGCACATTACGCATGTCATAGCAAACATCAGCGACTGGATAAAATCAGATCCAATCGTTTAAAAATTTTACAGTCCACACATCCAGGAAGCAATAATTTGTCAATAGCCGAGGATCCAGATCCCTTGTATGGAACCACCTTGTCCCTACAAGGGACTGGTTTTTAGCTAGGCTGGTGATAGAACAACATTGTAACTCCAATTGTATGTTTAAGGTTTTCCTCTTCCTGGACGTTACAAAAACACATAATTTTGCCATGTATTTTTGGTCTAAAGTCTAGTCCAAATATAGTTATATAATTAAAATAAAACAAAACTAGCTTCTAAGTAACTTTTCAGCAAGATATAGGTGCTTCTTTTAA